TTGTGTGTGTGTGTGTGTGTGTGTGTGTTTTGTAAAAAATCTGTACGTGATGGAGAAAAATGGATATTATTTTCGGATCAATTACTGTAGAATATGTAAAAATATGTACTGTAAGCTCATGTATGTAGATAACTCAGAATGGTTCTAAATTATTTATGTGTTGTCAGGCCCTGCAAGGAAGAACCAGCTAGACAAACATACGTTATGGGCTAACTACTATTATACTTCCGTGCATATTGGTAACCTATGTAAAAACCGGTATTTTAATCAGGCAAGAGATGACTGGACGTCAGTTTCATTGTATTGTTTCTTTTCTGTTTTGTTTTTTCTTGCTCATCTCAGATTTTTGATATACTTCCACCAGCTGCTGTGAATGGAATACTTATGTGCGTGTCATTTACATTAGTTGGCCAGTTGCAGATCTCAAGATTGTTTATGGAGATTTTATAGGCTGCTTTCTTATTATACAGTCAATTCAAATTAGCTATTTTTTATGTAAGAAAGTACGCATAATTAGATTTTTAAGATTTGTCGAAATATGTGCAATAATATTTATATATTACCTCACTTCCATAGGTGTCATGAGAAACTTCGTGTAACTGTAAATCAATTTTAATGTGTTTAATTAAACATAAATATCAAAGTGATGCATTATTAACTATTCGTTACGAACATTTGCACAAAGTTATAAAATGGCTATCTGCACTACCCGTGCCTAGTTTTTAACTGGAGGGAAGGGAACTAACTAGTCATCATTTCAATGTCTTTGCTTAGTGAGCACAGAACAAACAACCCATTGTGTAGCTTTACGCTGAACAACAAACAAACTGATTAAATACGTGGTGAAATGATTAATTATTCTCATTAAACCCTTTAGTGGTTCAGCAGTAAGTCTGCAAGCATAATACACTATAATCTGGGTTTCGATACATGTGGTGGGCGGAACAGAAATAGCACAATGTGTACCTTTTTCTTTAACAACACCCAAACCAAACTCTTACGGAAAATGCACAATTTGTTTTAAACAGTTTTATATTAACATATTCAATAAATTATATTTTAAAAATGTGATATCCAAGCCGAAGAATTGTCACAAAATTGGGACGACTTTTAACTAATTCACTCATTTGTGATTTAATTGCACTTATTGTCACGAGAGATTATGTAAGGAAGAAAATAAAAATTGGATTAGCGTTTTCGCCGTAACAAATTTCCTCACATAATTCTGTTGAAATTAGATAAAATGTTTTAATCATTTTGTTATATTAATGTATGTGCATTCTAGGTAAATTTTCGCATAGGTAAAACAGTAAAAACAAAAATTGCTGAATTACATTTTTTTTGGAATATTTCTTTAAATAAAGTTGTTGTTTTTTAAAATAATTATAGTATGTATGTTTGATGGTATAATTTGGTCATCTCCATTTATAATTTAGCACACACTTCTATGTGTAATTTTGAAGCTGTTTAGATCTGAAATTCACGTGAATGACCTTCTTACAGCACAGATAGAGATAATCCCGTGTAAAGTTTGTGGAGACAAATCGTCGGGAGTCCATTATGGTGTGATTACTTGTGAAGGTTGTAAGGTAAGAGTCCCCTGGTTTAATTTAGTTTCTTATAAACAAACTTCTGAATACGATTAGAGATTTTTGGATGCATTCGTGTACATTAATAGCAACAGAAAAAATTATGACTGAAAATTACATATATTGGGAGTTTGTGGTAATATACTGATTGTATGTATCCAAAATTATTTCAAAGATTTCATAATACATGTAATGCTGCCATCTATCGGATAAACTTAACACGTAGTAAATAGAAACCAGTAATGGTGTCAAACTTATTTACACTTTTCGTTATTTGGAAATAAAGGAGTATAACAGTGCTCTTTTTAAAGTACAATTCTCTACATGGATCTTAAGGGTTTCTTCAGAAGAAGTCAGTCAAGCGTAGTAAACTACCAGTGTCCCAGACAGAAGAACTGTTTAGTGGATCGTGTGAATCGTAATAGATGTCAGTATTGCAGATTACAAAAGTGCTTAGCTCTAGGAATGTCACGAGACGGTAAGAGACTAGTTTGTAACCTGTAGAATAAAGTAAAAGTAGTGTTACTTTTTATGGTGTTTTATTGATAGTTTTAGTTTTCTAAATTTGAAATACTAAATTGAGTAAACATACTAACCTCTTCCCCTCACAAGCTATGTATTATTGTATTAATTTAAATATTACCAATAATCTAGTACAACTACTAGTAGTATCGTTTAATATTTTTCCTTATTGTGTTTCTATCAAAATTAATAAAATGTTCTGTAATTACCTCGTAAAGTCCTTTTCAGTAATTACTCGATAAGGAAAGGGTTAATAATTTTGTATGAAAGCGTATAGGGAAGACCAGGGCAAAGCAAATCATTGGATAGAATTTGGTCTGTAAACCAAAAATACATGATTAGTTTGAAAAATTTTGCGTAAATTAAAGGGTTTGTTCTTTATCAACCTATATGTTCAAAATTGAAATTTGTTTTTAATTAATAAACCTTTCAGATATTTTTGTTTAGAATTTTAATTATGGTTCGCTTTACTCGATGGTGTAAGACAATGTGGACCACATACATATATGATATTTAAAAAAAAAGTGATTTAAACTGAAAAATATTTTTAAACATGGCATGTGTCACGTATGCAATAACAAAAGAAATTTGAGAGGGAAAGTCACACGAAAATTAGTGTCTTCATCATTGAGCCTTGCACACTTCTTGTGGATTCATTTCAAGCATTTTGAACTCCAACACAACCTTTTTTTTCTCAGCTAATCGCGAATATGTGTCATTACCATACATGCTTTCTGTGTCGACTTCATTTTTTAATTCATTTTATGCTAAGTATTCTGCAACCGCTCTCGCCTTCCTCTTTGTTTTATTTTTGTTTGTTAATATTTTCTTAGTAGTTGTGACGTTTTTGTCGGTTAGCACCCTTCACATTGGATGTTGGCTTGAAAATCAGGTCATTTCTGTAGGGATTACTTGTTAATGTTGCACCTGACCCTTTTTTTTTCTATTTAGAGCTCATTTTTATGCACTCTGTTTCAATTGGGCAATAGGATAATATTTCCGTGCCTAACATGGAAAGCACAACTAGGTTTTGATGAGTTGGGAGTTGAAGATCTTAAAGGAACTAGTTGGATCAGTATCATCTCTAGAATATCTACACTTGCATTGATAGAAAATGGGATAAGGAAGTGGAGGTTTGCTCTTTGTCTTGCAAAGTTTGAATAAGGCCTTCTGCAGTAGCTGAATGTGGAAAGTTTTGGATGGTGTGAAAATTGAATCATTTAATACTTTAGGATTGTATGACCCAATATCATTCTTTTTAAATTCAGTAAAGACTCTGGTATAAATAGCAGCATGTAGGTATATCTCACCAAATATTATGGTCACTTGGAATTGTATAACAACTCTCTCTGGGTTGTTTCCAATACATTGCACAATTGTTTTAAGAGAATTGATAGTGTCCATGTGTCAGCTTTTTTTGTACTTAATGATGCAAATATATGACTATAAAACACAAACGTAAATTTTAGCAGAATGGAGAACTAAGGCAGTTTAATTATTTTAACAGGGTAGCTGGTCTTTGTAGTGGATTGTCTTCAGATGTGGTGGATACAGTGAATTTTAGGGAAGGTTTGCTAAATAGTTAAATTATGAGGGCTACCTTTCAGTATTTAATTTTGTAAGTTTAATTTAGTGGATGAGACACCCCAAATGGACGAACAGATCCCTTTTGTTCTTAATTTTTGTTATTTATTGTAATTACAAAAATGCTTACATTCATAAGAGCTTACAAAGATCAGTTATTCTTATGAAACGTTTGAACATAAGCAAGGAACAAGCTGGTTATATCTGCATAGTAGTGCAACTACTAGTTAGCAGTAACTAATAAAATTTCCATGACATGGCAGCAGTTGCATGGAATAAAGAGTGTAATGGTCAATGTCAGTATTTAAGATCAACCCAAGGTGATTCAGCATCTTATTTTGTAATAAAGACAACAACAGTATAATAATGTACATTAATAATGGCTTAATGGAATGAGAAATGAAACTTAAATCATGGATATATTTAACAAAAAATTAGAAAAACAATAGGAAAGACCTAACAATTACCAACTGTTTAGAAACTATTGTAGGTGTTGTGGCTGGCAGTATTGAAGCTATTGTGCAGAAAGTAGATAATTAAAAAGTAAAGTATGAACTCAGTGTAAGATCTTTATTGACTCAGAGTACTTGATGTTTGAGCAGAAATGTCAAGTTGGAAATGATGCAACTTGTAGAATGGTAGATATGTTTGAGACTTTTTTTTTTTAAGTTACTTGAGCTTTCTAGTTAGCCTCAATTTGTTTTTGTGGTTAGTTGAAAGAGGCTACAAGAAACATTCCGTAATAACCTATAGATAGAGGATCAGTGTAAATCCACTAAAGACCCACATTCACTGTTTTCATTGAAAGTTTACTTACTTGATGATCTCTTAAGCTCTTACTTTTTGATACACTAATTATTTATCCTAGAAGTTAAAAATTTCAAAAGCAAAAAAAAAAAGAAAAAGATCTTATGTGATATAAAAGAAAGATGTCAGAAACTAGTATTGTTAGCATTCATAAAACTTGTTTAAAATTAGCAACTGAATATGCCATGTTTGGGATGGCCAAAGCAGATGTAATAAGTGGTATGGCATATCCAAAATCAAACACTCAGTGCTAAATTTTATCCCAATAAATATACAATAATTCTTTGGACATTTCTGTATCACCAAATAGGCTCCTTACCTTTTATGTAAACTGCTATAGAAGCAGGGAACAAAATAAGTTACTAATATTCTTAAACTACTTCAGTAAATAGTATTAATTTACCTTTCTGTTAAACATTTGTTTCATGTTTGACTACATCAACCTAGGTATAAATAATATACTAATCTAAATTATCTTTCATTCTGTTTTTATGTATAAATCTTATTTTGATTGTGTTTTCAATACTTTTTATTCAAACTAATCATTTATAATACAGCCATACATATTGATCATTTCCTATATTCTACAGAGTAAGCTATTCAAATGAAAAAAAATTTAGCTTTAGTTAAAGATCTTTCAAATTGAATAATTGTGTGTAAATCCCCATAAAAAGAAAACATTTATTATATTCCAAACAGAATAACTTGAATCAACTGGTAAATTGCACAATTATTTGGCAAATGACCATTAATTATAGTAAATGCAAAATAATGTATTTGAGTTATCATAATTTGGCTCGCGTGTTGGACGTAGATGATAATACACTCAATAGCATTGCCGAAGAAAAGGATTTGACATAGTGAGAATAAGTTACTCAAGCTGTTGAATTTGTTTTCCATTGTTAGTAGTAAAACTAACAGTATTTTAGAGTGTATTTATAAACATAATGATTACAAGTCAAAAGAGTTAATTATCTCTCTCTATACAAGTTACAGTTTGGGGTTCTTTATCTGGGAAAGGATACTGACTTATTGGAAAAAGTTCCGAGGAGAAATACTTGGATGATTGTGGGGATGGGTTATTTTATAACGATATGTTAGGAATTTCTTAACTTATTTTGTCCTTAAAGAAGCATAAAAAGTGATCTTATACAAATTTACAAGATTGTTGGGGAGTGGGTAGCATAAAGACCACTGATTTCTTTGTACCTTATTCTGAAAACATTAGTTTGATTTGGAAAAGACAGGTTAGGCTCCAATTAAGTTTTGTTCTAACAGAGTGATTGGTTTATGGAATAAGTTAACATCAGCAGTAGTGAAGGTTGGCACTTTACAAGTGTTTAAGAAGGGAATTGATATTCTGGAAAATAAATGGTTCGGTTTAAACCATTATTTTTCTTCATGGAGTGTTTGTGTATAGATAGGCTTGAAGGACCAGATAGTCTCTTGGTATGCATATGTTAGGTTTAAACCTTTATTTTTCTCCATGGAGTGTATGTGTATAGATAGGCTTGAAGGACCAGATAGTCTTTTGGTATGCATATGTTAGGTTTAAACCTTTATTTTTCTCCATGGAGTGTATGTGTATAGATAGGCTTGAAGGACCAGATAGTCTCTTGGTATGCATATGTTATATTATGACTTTGTTGTATTGCTAAAATTTAGTGGACTGTCATACTCATGCACTAATATACTTTTTTAAATCGAATTTTTACAATAAAAGTGCAGAAAGACCAGTAATTTTTACAAATAGGAGGGTGTCTCTTCGGGTAGGTGCTGTCAATGAATTGTTAATATGATATAATTCAATGTAACACATGTTAAAACATGTTTTAATATTTTATATTTTATTGGCTACTGTGTGCTGTCTTATTAAATCTTTTATATAAATTCTTAGTAAGTTACTAGAACTATCTTCAAACCCATTTTGGAATTTAAACCTTAGATATTTCTTCCAAATGTTATTTTAAATCAACACATGCTAATCCCAAGCAAGTACCTGATATAAAGTTTCTATTGAGAAGTTTCTTGATATTTAAACTATGCACACAAACACTGTTAATGAATATTTCAGAATGAGCTGGCTAGCTCATTTATAGGGATATGAACAACTTCAGGTAGTTGGAAAGTAATACATCATTTCAGGTTCACTTTCTTTCATCACATCACTTAGAACTGTTTTTCTCAGAATGGAGTAAATCTGCAATTGAACTGATTTTGTTTAATTTTACAAAGAAAGTATCTGATATGGAGCGATCTTGTGCTAATCTCTTTTATTAGTCTGGTAAAATAAGTGATATGATTTCTTTTATGAATAGGAGCAATATATTCATTGTGTTTTCATATTTATAGGCTTGATGGCATGTATAGAGTTGATAGAATATTATGGAGCTCAGAAGAGTTTGTGTTCGTTGGTAGGATAGAATATTAATGGCTATTTACTTGTTCAAATAATGTTATTTTCAAGAATTAACTAGAGCTGAATCAGACATTGATTTGAGATTTCTTTATTATATAATAATATAGTTGTTTTCCTTAAATGCCCCATTTGATGATGTTTTCAGG